ATACCTGTTGGATTATCTAGGGAATTGTTGGAGCCATAATGACTATTTGTTGGGCTGGAATGATTGGAGATCCGGCTGTGTACTGCTGTTGTATTTGGGTGTGTTTCATGTAATTCTGTACACACAAGTCCTTGATATTAGTTACATATGTTCAAACAGAATAGGATAACAATAATACAAAATTTACTGCCTATAAAACCTTTTTCTCAAGTTAGTAACATGATTTTTATCAATTACATCTTGCATGGGTGAAATAGTGTTAGCATAATTTTGTTACTTTTAAGCATTCAGACTTTAGTGACAGACAAACATGAAATTTGCATAAAAACCTGTGAAGTCTTGAAATACCTGGCCTTAAGAAATTCTCATAAATCCATCTAACTTAACAAAACATTTTTGATTAAACAATATTTGGTAAGGATTTGAATTTACAAGCAAATATAATACACACACAACTTCATAAATCATTATACACCTTGTTATAAAGATCATCCATTGTGTGTGTGTTTTAGCATCCTATACAAAGAGTTGGCTGGTTCGATTATTGTATTTTTTGGTGTGGTAACTGGAAACTGTTCAATGATGTACAAAGCCTATTTTATTTTAGGATTTTTGCCTGAGAAGAGGGATAAAAAAAAGTCCCTAATATAGTGCACATTTCCACTATTTTATATACTTTTTGCTTGCACCACCCAGAGTTGGCTGACTTATTTATTGTAGGTTGTTGTATGTTTTGTATGGTAATGGGAAACTGTTCACAGTGTACATGGACTATTTTATTTTAGAGAAGGGGATTAAAAACACCCTAAAATAGGGCATATTTCCACATTTCTTTTAATAGACTTTTGGTTTTGAATTTAAAGACAAGTACCTTATCAATTAAATTAGTCAATTATTACCTTCCAAAAGGCAGGATATGCAATTAACATCAACTGAGGTCATTAGGGATTTAATAAGAAAAGAAAGAAGGGGAACATCATCTAACATTATTCTTTACACAATTTTTTTTTGTTAATGGGTACCACTCAGCATTACATAAATTATTCAGCTATACTAAACATTTTTTTTGTCTTGTATAACTAAGATATGTCTTTCAACCTTAATACTAATGTAACTAATTATTGTATTTCAACGAGTGACAAGCAACCACAATGTTAAAATGTTACAAGGCTAATCTGTAACAAACTATTAAAAAAATCATCTCAACTTAGAAAATGTAGAAACTAGTAAGTATTAGATTCAAACTCCTCTCAGCATTATAAAAACAAATGAAAAAAACTTGTGTTCATAGTTTCTCCACATATTCTTTCTGTACCATCTTTTCACATCACTGATAAACTTCCGTGTTCTTAAGGGCGGCTCTCATAAACATTTTGAATCTATGTGTATTAATAAATATAGTAAGACACCTACTAGCTAGTGTTTAAAACCAAAAACATTTTCTTTTCACAGTCAGTCAGTTAAGTGGAATAAGGATGGCCATATGTTTCTAGAGTTAAGTAAGGAATTGAATATTTTCAATGAGTATTGTATATACAGAATTTAATCATTATACAAAAGAGACAGGACAACAACCAGATTTCAATAAGTAATGAAATAAGTGACACTTGGATAAAATGTATATGTTACATTCTGTTGAGAGTCCTTAGTAAAGGAACAGGGATATATAGCCACGATGTCTTCCATCTCTACCTCATAACTACCTTACCTAGTGAGCTGAAAAGTCTATTAACACAGGTTCACTCAAATGTGCTTACCTCCTGAGGACTGAGAGATAAAAGGAACAAAAATAAATACCAAAATATTAAAAAAACTGGTCACACAAAGTGGTAAAATAGGTATTTCAAATTGAGATTATGATTATCTCATTGAGATTGATCCTGTGATGTAGACAGACTGGTAATTAATGAAACTTGCTAATTGGTCGTGCTCATTAATCAATTATTCTCTCCTGATAGGGTCAACACAATCCATTAGGAGTGCTGTGATCAGTATCATCATGTTCCTGTTCACATTATTGTGACCATTCATATAAATAATCCTTGGGCCAGCTACATGTATTAATCACTCTTATACTGTTCAATCGTTTCTATTTCCAGAATTGATTATCCATGTTAACGAGGAAATGGCAGATCAGCCTGTACTCCACATCAGAAATACTGGGTATGTTTAAGCATTTTCCATTGATATATATTTTTGTGTTTTCAAATAGTGATAAAAATAGTTTTATATTAGTCTACAAATTTATACAATGTAATTTTTTGAAAATAATTGTAATCTTTTTAAAGAAAAGTTGGAATATTTCTAAAAATAAGAGAACAATATATTAAATACTAGAAAGCTAGTCTTTTATGATCCAATTTGAAGTTTGTTTTATCAAAAACACTCAAATAAATAATAAAGGTATAAGGAAAACTGTGTGCCTTGTTAGGAGCTTTTCAAGTTTCACCAATCATGGATAATTAATTATCTAATCAACTACTATTTTATAATGATGTGATGAAGGTGAAAAAATATGGAGATCCACTCCATGCCAGCATTTAAGATGTCTACTTAAAAGGTATAAAGACAAAGACACCAAAGACATAGCCAAATGATGAATGAGATGTAACTTGAAATACATGCTTAAGATGGTAGGGAATATCATGATAAACAAGACCTATCAGCTGTTCCCAATTTGTTAATATGGATGGAGCAAGATCCATGGAATGAGAATCGTCCTAAGGTACAAACAATTATGATGATTCCCTCAAAAAGATTCCATTCTTCCAGAATAAGAAGAAACAGCCCTGACAAAACATAGAAAATGTCTGTCAAAAGAAGAACCAGTGTCAGTCAAGAGTAGGTAACACAATAGTGGTGATCAACTTTTGCAGCCCATGTCTCTGGTAGGAAGTCTCTATCACGATATATATGTACAAAGCCTTCCTAGAAAAAAAAAAGAATTGTATGAGAAACATCAATGGCAAAAAATATATATCTGAATGTCTCCCACTTGGTGTGAACAATAGAATACATCTTCAGGGAAAGATGGCAGAATAAACAACTTGCAAAGGACTTAAAAGGAGAAGCTAAGCAACTTAAGACCAGACTCAAACCTCATTGAGAAAAATGTCTAGGTACTTGTGGAAGATGTACTAAAAAAAAGTAGGAACAAGAGAGGAATGTTACTTCTGTGGCAACTGAAAGTGGCTGAGATTGCAGCTCTGTAACATGTAAGCAACAGAAACATACAAACCTCAAACATGAAAAAGATACATGAAATAAAATGAGACAAGCCATTAATGAGTTGGAGAAAGAGAAGAAACTGAATTCCACAGATACCAACTCTAAAAGACAGACCAACAAGACTGGTATAATGCCAGGGAGAAACGTCTGCAAGAACCTGAAAACATTCTAGCTACCCAAGAAGAGAAGCCAGCTTTACTAACAAAGGACCCTATAACAAACATCCAAGAAGCTGTAGATGACAAAAATCATAGTCGAAAATGAATCAAAAAATCATGGAATAGGATTACTCTGAGATAGTCAAAAGGAGTGTAAACCATAGTGGATCAGAAAGAAAAAAAAAAAAGACAGAGAAAATAATTTCTCTCAAGACAGGCTCAAAATATACACTGTTAGAGAAGCTAGACCCAGAATTGGAAACCAGAAGATGATGCACTGCTGTTGCAAATACATTAGGCATGGGAAGACTGAACCATTTGCCCAACCAATGAAATATCAGCTCAGAAAAAGACCTAATGTATATGTAGCCAACAAATAGAGAATATGTAGCAAACAAAGGTTGTGAGATCAATATAAAGAAAACAGTGGTAACCAACTTTTGCAGCCCAAGTCTCTGGTAGGAAGTCTTTATCAGGATGTACATTCAGAACCTTCCTAGAAAAAAGAAAAGAGTATGATAATCATGAATGGAAAAAAAAAAATCTGAATGTCTCCTACCAAAACCACAGTTAACAAGTCTGTGAGTACTAAAACACAGCAGTGGTGTAACTAGGGCAGGAACTCCTAACATGTGGAATAGCCCAAATCTCTAAAAATTAATTAATATGAAAGTGGAATATGTAAGAAAACAACAAACCCTAAAGATATCAGGTTCTAAACACATCACCCTAACCATGGAGAAATATATCGGTGAAAAAAAAATCTGCGGGAGTTGGAATAAAAGGGGAACCTACAACATGTGTTTCACAAATGAGCCCCACTTGAAGTTTATCAAGAGTAGTAGAAAAAATTCCAATAAACAACATATCTAAGAATAAACACCAAGGAAGGGCAAGATCCCATTTATGTTATCTAAAGAAAATGCAATCCATATGAATTGTCACATAAAGAGAAGTCATCATTCCTAAATCAGAGGATATATTTGAAAAGTATGCATACCCAAAACTCAAAGGATTGTAAAACCAAAGGTGATGGGTAAAGATCCTAAGAGAATATCAATACCAAACCTCCGATGAATAAGAGATTGAATACATGCACAAGTTGAGACTTGAACTCATGAACAATCCATCTCAAAAAAGATGCTAACTGGGAGGTCAACTCAATGTGAGGTGACCATCAAGTGACAGTCCACTGATCATCCATGTAATGATGACAATCAATATTGAGTTGTGTGTAGAAGACCAGTTAATAGTTTAAATGCATGTGTGAAGACAGTGCTTAATCCAAATCAGAAAGGATGGCCATAAATGAGAAATCACTCTACCATGTGAAAATGGGTGAAACAAGACATGTAAATAAGTGTCTCTGAAATCCCTACTCATCATCCAAAAACCTTAATAAAAAAAGTTTCACATGATTCTCATAGGTTCCAACTAGAAAGAAAGAATATACAGATAACAAGTAAGACAGAAAAGATCAAACACTAGTCTTCTTTCTCCTGTTGTCTTTGGCACCACAAAAAAAGTACACACCCAGAGGAAACATTAGGTACAACATCAATATCCCCTTGTTGTAGAAAAAATTCGAAAATATCAGATGAAAGGATCCACAAATAAACAAATATCTGAGATGAGCCCCAAAAGTTTGAACACAGAAGTCATCCATAACAGAGACAATTGGTAAGTCATAAGACACCTACCATCTTACACTGGTGCTAGACTATACAAGAAATACGAGTAAATGTACCTAGCATTGAAAAACATTACACTCAGAACTCTAGAAGAGAATGACAAACCAGAAGCGAAACAAGATGCTAAAATCTAATCAACCCCTATTGGCAAGCTTCTCCTAAATGAGAAACAAGACAAATACTTGCAAAGACATTATATATATATGTATATGCGTGTGTGTGTGTGTGTGTGTGTATAAATAGAGAGAGAGAGTCAGCAGATCAGCACCTTGCAACACAACAAAACATGCAAAAGTGTCAAAGGAACATACAGCCATGTAGGAACAGAAACACTGTAAATGCTAAAAGTGGGTAAAAATATGATAAAATCTTGATTCCACTATAGATAGCCACCTATGGAAGCTATCTCATAATACAAAACTGATATAAAATATTCTTAAATACAAAAATAATGTCAAATATCTTCAAACAAGAGGCATGAGGTAAGGATGAGGTCAAAGTAGGTATGTGATATTGTTTAAAATAATCAGAATGAGGATAACCAATAGTGAAGCAAAAGAATGTCCCAAAACACGACAAATCATAATCGTGCAAGGTATAAAACTGACGATGGGTCAAAGTACAAAATAATGTGGAATTATTTACTAATTGGCATTTATTTGTACTCAATCAAAAAGTTCAATTCACTTCAGTTGAGAGCATTACAATATCTAAAAAACAATATTACTTTCATGTTCCATTAAATTAAAAAGAAAATCCTACCATTGTTACAAGATTGAGCAGCACAGGGACTAACTGGATGTTGAGCTTGGTAGTCTTGTCCATCAATGTCAGAAGTGGAACTCAAAGGTGAACCAGATCTCCTCCCAGACAAGCTGCTCACTAAATTATGAATAAGTTACATGTTACTAAAATAAGGTATACCAAGCAGTTTGCTGCCTAGTTAAATAGTTCAGTGTTTCACTCTATAGCAGTGTTAAAATTGAGTTATTAAAACAAAAAGCATAGTTTTAAAACATAATCCTGCCAGAGCTTAAATTAAGCAAGAGACCAGTTTGAAACTAATTACCAATTCAATGTATGTTACTATAACTCCTTTAAACTCACCTCTTATTGAACTACTACAGATTTTGTTAAAATGAAAGATATTTCAAAGTAACTCACTAACAACATTTTTTCTTTATACTAAAGTATTTTATATGAACAATAACATGAAGTAATGCTACAAGCAAAATAAGGTAAAATTTTTTAGTATCTTTAATACCAATTTCAATAACCAGTTCCTACTACAGTATTTTCCTGTATGTGTAATGCTAATCCTGATGCTATAGGTATAAGCTGTTGTTCTTTGCACTACTGTACAGACTTTCAAATACATTTCGTGTTCTGGTTGTGTGTGAAAAAGTATGTTTTTAACTGAAAGAAATTAAGAGGCAAAGGCAGCTCAGCCCCGATCATGTAAATTTTCTAAAAAAAATGATGCAAGCACCTAAAAGAATGCACATTTCATTTCTACTGCTAAGGTACTTTGAAGAATCAGCCACCAAATCTATTTAAAACCATAAATGACAAGGTTCACCTAGAGATGTCATAACAAATAAAAACAGAGTAAGCTTAACATAATAAAATAATTCAAACACCATTTTTAATTTTGTGTATACAAACTTTTGGTTTGTTCCATATAAAACATTATCTCAAACAATTTTGATATGATAATGTTTTTCACATTAAGAAAGTACTTTTTTTTTTCTCATAAATATAATTAACTTTTCTGCAGAGGCTATTAAGTGGCTAATGTTTCAAGTGGAAAACGTGTGTTATTTTAGAATTAGTAAATGTTACTGTTGTTGCAAAGTGTCGAGAAAGTATTTGGACAGTATTTTGTTTCATTTCATGTTCAGAAAACACATTATGTATGTTTTTTTTCTTTGTGTTTTAATTATGTAAAGAATTGAGGAAAACAAAGAATTTTTTTTAAAATAATTTTAATCTTTGTGAATGAAAGTTTTAAATGGTTAGTAAAAGACTGCTGTAATGAGCTTTATGCATTTATGTACCTATTCCACTTACAAATAAAATACGTTTTGGACTTTTAAAGAAAAGTTGCAATATTTCTAAAAATAAAAGAGAACAATAAATCACATACTAGAAAGCTAGTCTTTTATGGTCAAATTTGAAGTTTGGTTTACCAAAAAGATTCAAATAAATAATAAAGGTATAAGGAAAACTGTGTGCCTTGTTAGGAGCTTTTCAAGTTTCACTAATCATGGATAATTAATTATCTAATCAACTACTATTTTATAATGATGTGATGAAGGTGAAAAAAATAGCAAAAAATATGCAGATCCACCCCATGCCAGCTTTTAAGATATCTACTAGAAAGGTACAAAAACCAAGAGACAAAAGACATAGCCAAATGACGATTGAGATGAGAAACTTGCTGTTCCTGATGATGCGTTTACTGAAGAAACCATGGTCATTAATAAATGAAGTATTTGTGAAACATACAACTGTTTTTGATTTTTTTATTTAAATTCTGTATTTACTCAATCTTTTTCACAGATAAAAATGCAACTCATAACTTTTATTGTGAGTAGCAGTACTTCTAAATGTCACATATCCTTTGGTTTATGTTTTTTAGGTGTTTTTAATGATTAATTTTTTCATCATCATCATCATAGCATAAAGTAATACTGCATTTAACTGATTAGATTTATCTGAAATAATTCAAAGTTTAATAAAGTAGTCTTTTGAACCACACATTAAACAGTATTTTTGTCATCAGCAAACCTAAAATACATATCTTGAATAGTTGATTTCATTTAAGGATATTAGATAATCACCTGAATTTCTTTTAGGTGTGCTTGCTGGAGAATACTGCTTTAAACCTAAACAAACAAAAAATAATAATTAAAAAAGATATTTAAACAACAACAGATAAATATTGACATAATAGCTGCACCTTCCACTTTCATAATAGGATATTACAAATAATAAAATACCAACTTTGGACCTACATTTCGTAAATAAACTGATGAAACAACAGCACTCTGAAATGTGAATAAAATTAATCAAATATTCATTCATTTTCAAGGTAAAGATTAACTGAACAAGTGAAGATATTATAAAAATATATAAAACTGTAAAAACATCAACTTTTATTGCATTTTGTACGAAATGCAAAAACGCTTCTAAAAATGTTTCAGCCCTCATTAAACAAAGCAAGCTTTCTTCCTTAAATGACAGTTCAAAATTAACAGACTTCTAACATGGAGTCATCATCCATCAAATTATCTTCATCCAAAATGAAATTTCATTTGAGTATTTACCCACATAACTAAAATTATATATATGTGCAAAAACTTGTAAAAGTATTTCAGAAAGGCATTAACCTTAGTCTTATTCTTTAATACATACATTTCTTCTCAAACTGAATTTCTACTTACAACAAACACATGCACATACAGAAAATTTAAATGATATAACAATATACTTTTTCATTAAATCTAAAAGGTAATGGCAATAATAATAATAAAAGAACACTGACATCAGAAACTTACTCTCTTCTTGAAGTCTAGCTATCTCATGAACATCTATGACATCTGCAAGAGAATCATCTTCTAATGCCACACCATTTTCACTTTTTCCTTGATAACAATATTGTAATGGTTCAATTACTGGTATAGCACCAGGAGGTAAATTCACTTCTCCTTCCCTTTTCCTTCGATTTCGAGTAAAGGTTCTGGAGTCAACAACTCGGCATCCTAAGAGTAACAGAAAATATTTTCAATTCCTTTACGTTAAAATATCACTATCATCTTATATCTTAAAATACATCATACAACTAATGGTTCTTTACCATGTTTCTAAACCATTTAATCTACTGTAGCTTTATCTCTGAAAATAAGCCAAACATTACACTGAACAATAAAATATTTATATGTAATTCACACATATTTATTACATTGTCTACGAACCATTTATTAATGTTAAGACAGTAAAACTAAAATAATTTTCATTACCCAAAATGAAAAAATCAGAAGCTCATTCAATCTATTAATTCAACTAAGCTAGATTCACTGAACATTTTACAATTAAGTTGTGATGGAAGAAGATTAAAAATATAGAAGCTGAATGCCATCCTGCGTAAAAACAACACCCGTAGCACAGCATTAAAGGAATCAAAGCTGACTAAAAAGATTAATCTCTGTTTGAGAGATTTTGTAAAAATCACAAAAGATAGAGAAAATTGAATGAAAGGAGGTATAGCATTCTTGACCAAAAACCCTGATGCCAATTTGAAATGATTGAACTAGCCAACCTATTGACCCTGAGAATGATAAAAACTCTGAAGTCATTACTCATCTTCCAGATCAGTCCCAGCTAATATAGATGTTTATCATACAGACAGGTCAATATTCAGTACCAATCTAATATTACATATTCAAAAGATGTTCTGATTGCTGGTGACTTCAATGCAAAAAAAACCCATGTGGAAAGAAAACATCCTTCATCAAAATGTAGAAGATCTCTGCATCAACCTTAAGATCTTAATGATGGAATTAAGATATATTACTCGGAAACCCATGCAACTCGGTCTGCCTTATACTTGTCCATGATAGTTATTATCTAGCAGAATAATGTGAATGGACAATACTCCTGATTTCTATTAGTGATCACAAGCCTATTGTTAAATCCTTGAAAAAAAAATCTTTTCAGAATAACCAGGTTCAAAAAATGAGATGAAATTTCTATAGAGGATCCTAGAATTGCTTTACCAATACTTGGATGCTACATACTCAACTACATCATGATCCTGAAAAAAAGATCTGGATGAACTAATAAGTAACATCAATAAATTTATGAAATAGGCCATATCTTTGCCATAAGGCACAAGAAATAAATGATGATGATGATAATCATATCAAACTAAACCAAGCAACAGCAAAATCCAAACTAGCCACCAACAAATGTAAATGTCAAAAGTAGGAAGAAACATGTTGAAATTTTGATTCCACTCCCTATGAAAATTCTCTCATAATATGAAATAGAAGAAAAAAAATCTTAAATACTAAAATAATGTCAAATATCCTCAAACAAGAAGGCAATCATGCCACAACTAATGAGGAAGCGGCTAACATCCTAGCAAACCATTATGGTAAAACAAGCAATCTGGATTATAATACATCTGATAAATAAAAGGAAATAAAAACGTCCATAAATTCCTTCCAAAACAAAAATTTAACCTTCAAGCTGATGATATCTTCCAAAGGCTTGAAAATGCTTTGAAACATAGGCCCTGAAATGAAACAGTAACTTTTTATTACCATAAATGAAATCTGGACTACATGTAGACCACCAAAGATGCGAAAGATTTCATTGATTACACTTGTGTAAAGAAGGGAAAAGGTGCAACTACCAGCAAAAGCTATCAACCATTATCACTGACTAATATTTTATACAAGACTGTGGTAACTAGCCAAAACAGGAAAAAAAAACATTTAATAAAAGAACAACTCTTCTATGCACGACAATCAATTATAGACAGAATCCAGGAAAACCTTCCTCATACAACAGATGTTATCTTTATAGATGTGCCACCTGCATTTGATAAAGTGTGGAGAAACTGCTTTCTATTCAAACTTCATGAAACAGATACTTGAAGATGAGTGTTTTTACAGACAAAAGGTTTCCTGAGATATAGAAAAATAAAAATGAAATTAAACACTAACCACTTGAAAAGAAAAAAAAACTACACGAGGGTGTTTCCTAAGACTCTGAATTTAAGCTCTCTACTGTTTCTGCTTTACACTTCAGAAGTCCATTAAAACCAATATAAACCAATCCTTAGATGCCATTATGAATTGGAACTTTACATCTGACACTCCATTTAAACTTATCAAAGACTAATTTTTGTCTGTTCACTACAAATAGATGAAACAGGAATTATTTTCTAAACTTTAGCATCAGATGTATAGTAGTATATAGAAATAATAATCAATCCCAAAATACCTTGACAACACTTTAGATCCTGAATTATGTTTCAAGAAACATATCACAGAAGCTGAATCTCATGAAAAAATTGTATGGGGTTTCGTGGGATGCAAGTTCAAAGGTACTTCAAACTACATACACTCTTATTGTAAGACCAATCATGGAATTTGTCTCACAAAACTAGGCCCAGATCTCAGAAATGTCGCTGAAAAACTGGTCAGTTCAAAGTAGAGCTGGCAAACTCATCTGTGGAATCCTAACATCCATGTGTTATACCATTTCTTGAATGTCAAAAATGCTTGGTAGTTCACATACAGTTTTACAAAAAATCATACTGCCAAACAATATTTAAAAAGTTGAAATATAATTTTGATTTAAAAGATCAACAACACTTCAAATGGAGACAAAATTGGATGAACTTGGGATGATACAAAAAAATTCTTTAACTGAAAGACCCTGGAAAAATTATTTCTCCACTAAAGTAAACCTGAATCTAGTCACCCTGTGCAAAAAGACTGACTCACCTAGAGTCTTCCAAACCCTTGCAAAATGGACTATTGAAAAAAAAAAGATACCAAACAGCTAAAATAAAGCATAACAAATGAGCCATCTGATGAACCTCTTTGAAATGGTGGGTGTTATGTTCTTCTACTCTCCAAAAGGCCATGTCAAGGACATCAGTCTAAGATCAGGGCTAGTTGCATTCAATTTCCCTTCAGATCTAAATGCAATCTTAAGTGGTATAGACACTTTCAATTGTGACACCCATAAAACATCATCTGATGATCTAGCTATTATGTGTGACTTGTAAGCAGCTAGCTATCCTTGCAGTGAATGGAGCTAAAGACTCCTTGTCTAAAATCAAGTTGTGCAAATGTGGGGTGCAACCCCATACGGGTAACACAGAAGATTGGTAGAAGGGGTGTGCAACTACAAATATACGGGCATATGAATTACACCTAAATGTACAAATTAAGAAGTTTTAAAAACTATATTACAAATACTGCTATTACTAAGTAATATAGTAACGACAATTAACAGGAGAAAATGAAATGTGCAGTATATATATGTGTGTGTGTACAAAGAGATTATACAAGGTGCAAGGAGATGGGGGGCATAAAAAGTTTGTGCACTATTGGTCTAGAGAAATCCAACAACTATAAGAAAAAGGTATGAAATGCAGAATCCTGTAGAAAAGAAAAGCTTCAACACACAGAAGTAATCTCAGAATATACTTATTCACCTACAGCTAAGAAGAAAAAGAAATAGACTACCATAAAATCACCTGCAGTTGGTTATCAAGCATCTAAAATTACTGTTGTTCATCATACGCATGGTTTTTGTATTCAGTCAAATGGAACAGTGTTCCATCTGAATGCAAACAATTCAGAATGCTGCTGCTAAGACCAGAACACGCAGTTGTGCATTAAAGTATAGAAAAAGAACGAAAGAAAGAAAATAAAACTTTGAAAATGAAAAGAATTTTGAATTCCTCTTCAGTGGTAAAACTGTAGAAGTGGCAAAAGTTTGTTCTGAAAACTCGTTTAGTTCGAGGGATATGACAGTTTTAAAACTATCAAGAAGGATATTAAATGCATAATTACAGTTATACAAAAAGCAAAAGGTCACAGCAAATATTCATTTCAAAGAATGTTATAATTATGAAGCTGTGAACAGTTGCCTGATGTCATGCACATCTCAATATTATACAAAAAAAAATAGTACAGCAAGGCAATTAGGGAAATTTTATGATCCATTAATCATCGGGCCCATTGATTTATTAGATCCAACTAATTGATTATTCTCACGAGTCTTTGATGGTTGAAATAATCAAACAGAGTAATAATTGAAAACTAATAAAATAATTACTTTCTGTGACACTAATTGATGTGATCGATACTCATAAGTTATAGATTAATAGTTAATCACTCATCTAAACAGTTGATAAAACATTCTCTCTCGAATAATTGCATAAACCTGGCAAGCAGGTAAAAAAAAACAAACAGGGGCATGCAACTTATGTGATTGTTACAATGCTTATTTAAAATAATTGGAACCAGCAGGTTCAAAGATGCAAACCTGCCAACATTAAATTTTGAAAAATAGTAATCCCTACCAGGACAAGAGAAAAATAATATAAAATGGTATCACTAATAATTATGTTTTACTTAATACTTACTAATTGCAGTGTACTACTGATTAAGAGTCCTGTAAGTAGCACTTTGAGGATAATACAATATCATTGAACTTTTGTGAATACTCATGTCTAAAGCTTCCGCTTGCTATAAACTTTTCTTTGTTGGAGTCACTGGGGATGAAGCAAAACCACATTTTTCCATCATTTTCTTCTCAAACAATGATCAGCCACCCTAGTCACTTACTATTTACACACTTTTTTAACAGACTATTTCAAGCATTTGCAAGACTGAGATGCAAAGCAAATAACAGTGAATTATTTCCAGAAAATTATTAGTAGAAAAAAAAAGGTTGGTAAAAACATTCCAGAATTTCTCCTGAGATC